GCCGCTAGTGGCTGTCTCATTGACAGCCGCTAGAGGCGCTTGTGTGCTTCTCACTGTGATTTTCACAGTGAGAAGACGCCAGCGTCCATAGGAAAGCATTGAGAATGCTTTCCTATGAGACTGACTGGATGCACGCGTGGCTCTTGCCGCGCATGCGCATTCAGCCGATGACGGGGAAGGGAGGAGGAGAGTCTCCAGCACCGAGGGAGCCCGGCGCTGGAGAAAGGTAAGTGTTTAACCCCTTCCTCTCCATCCAGCCCGGCGGGAGGGGGCACCCTCATGGCACTATAGTGCCAGGAAAACGAGTATGTTTTCCTGGCACTATAGTGGTCCTTTAAACTCAAGCGGCAGAAAGCCTGGGCTGAGGAAATGGCGGGCTTGAGAAGGCTTCAGAAAGTAGACCTGCAGCTTGTACAAGCTATTTTAAAACATAAAATCACCCCCCTAGTGACGCCACTGGTAACTAAACCCCCATTACTTTCAGTAAGGGGTTTAAAAAAAAGTGTTTGCACTTGATTCAGAGATCCCCTGGATCTACTTTGAAATACATTTATTTGCAGCACAAGGGAACTCAGAAGGAGCTCAGATTTCTTTCTAATTTCGGTCACCCCAAGGACATTGGTGATTCTCCAACACTGGCAAATAATTAACCAGAGAGGTTTGCCTCCTGCGCTTGAATTCTGATGCTGGCAACGAAGCCAGTGTGCCGATGTCACTGACCAGATTTGCCCTGCTTAGGGATGTGTCCCAAGCAGGGCAAATCAAAGAATAGAGTTGGAGCACAGGACGGCCAAGAGGGACGTGTTACATGAAGAGTAATGCCCACAAAGCGGCGCTAGAACAGAGGAAAATTTTGTATATCTTTATATTTTACATTTAATACACTGCGTATCTATATGATATACGGTGTGTGTATATATATAGTGTATTCAATAAATATTGAAGCAATTTAAGGTAAGTCAATTTTTTCTATTACAGGTTCACTTTAAGGGAAACAGATTTTTGATAAAACTATATTTACATGATTCAATTAGGAGAAGCACGAACTAGAATAGGTGCTTGTCTGGATCATGTCATCACTAATAATGGTGACCTATTTTCAAATATTAACGACAGAGAGGACTACGGAAATAGACCATAATATTATATTTTTTTTAGATTAAAGGGACACTATAGTCACCAGAACAACTACAGCACTTTGTGCAGTACTGCCATTCAGTGTCTCCACCCTGTGCATGGATGCTGGGTTCACTCTTACCTTCCAGCGTTAAACCGTTTTCGAACAGTTTAACCCTAAAGTGAGCCTCCAGCACAGAAGCACCTGAATCTGTTTCAGTAAGCACGGAGGCAGGTGTGCTGCTGATGCTCTCAGCCAATCAGTGACTCCACATTCATAAAACTGGCTTGAAATGAAACATACCTGACAATCAGGAGCTGGATGCTGCCTGGAGTGAACTGAGGTGCAGCACTGGAGGTTCACTTTGGGGATAAACGAATCGAGAAAGGTTTAACCCCTAAAGGTAAGAGATCTCCTGGCACCATAAAACCACTAAATTTAGATTAAATTCTTTTGGTGCACGGAGTGCTCGTTTAAGGGTTACTTTATAAATTAGGAGTACCCAAGCCCAGTTTATTGATAATGGGGCAAACAGTTTTGCCAGGCACTGAGGGTCCTCTATGGCCGGTGACTTACATGGATGGCCAAACCCATTGGCCATCCATTTCTCTGAGTGTCACTACCAGCCAATTTAATGCAACTATGTGCATACAAATATGCAACAAATTGACCAGCCCAGAAATCTGGTTCCTATCTGGCTAATGACACTGCAATCACACAGCAGGCGGTGGAGTTACACCTCAGAATACACATGGGTTAAACTCTGTATGTGTAGTATTTCTGCCCATACAAACTCCAGGCATCATGACCACTTCAAACCTACTTTAGTTCTACCACTTCCTCTAGGCAACCTGTGACGGACCACTGGCACTCCGACCGATACCTCCGCCAATCGATGCTCCTAGTGCTTGCCAAGGACTCCGAGCACTCCACCAGACACCTTAATTACTGCAGAACCCACTTCCAGCAATGCAGCTGCGCCGGGGTCTCGCCGTCTTTCATCCACCCTAGACCCAAGACAAGGGTCCAGCTTCCAGTTGCCAGACCTCTCCTAATCCAGAGAGCATATCAGGAACAAGCTCTTACAGGATCTTATACTCAGGGGAGTATTGTGTTATAGCAATCCCCAAGAGTGTAGTTATCCCATCCCCCAAGCATGAGCCGAGGCTTAATACTGGGTAGAGATCTGTTTAATGGCACACAAAGCAACAGCATGCAGTAAAACCACTCCTGCTCTGAGGAAAACAAAATGACAGTTATAAAGTAGTCACAGGGCAAGAGGCTGGCAAGCAGGCTTCTCCAAAACCCAGTGGCGAGGTTACTTTTGCCACATATCTCACCCTCCCAGGGAAGACTAACCTGACCTCATGCCGGTTGGTACCTGAGTTAGTTTGGCAGCCCGCCCACAACCAAATACTGGACCTGGTAAATTTGGTAGCCTGTCTCTGTCCAGTGAGTCCATCAAGGTTGTGTTGGTATCTGGTACTCCTGGTCTCTGGGTGGCTCTCTGGCTTGCAGTGGGGGGCAGAGATCAGCGGTGCTCTGCCCTGGGGCCAGTGCTTCAACTGGGTAAACCGGTACGCAGTCTGGCCTTGTAGCAACGGGATAGGTAGGGCAGAGGCCAGGGGCGCTCTGCCCGGATGCCAGCGCTTCTGCTGGAAGGGGGTCAATGTGTATCGCAGACCCATCCACTGCCCCCAGGACTTGGTTGGGAATTAGCTGGGGAGAGGAGGACTCGCTTATTTCCTCCTCCGGGTATCCCTGCGGGGATGGTTGGGGATCTGGACCGGCCGTCCAGCATCCCTGTAGGATTGGCACAGAGACTGCTGTCCCATCTGCGCCAATGGGGTTAGGATTGCTTTCCCCCTGTAGTGGAGGTGAGGGACCAGTTGTACCCTCTCCCGGTATCTCCGGCTGCTGTTGCAGGGTGAGGCTGGTTGCCTCCACTCCCCAGGACGCTGGTTGCCGCTGGGGAGAGAGACCGATTGTCTCCTCTCCCTGTAACTCCAACTGCCGCTGGGGATCTGGGCCGGCTTCCCAGCATCCCTGTAGGGCCGATAGAGAGACCTCGGTCCCATCTCCACCTGCCTGTTGGGGGTCCTCCCAGGACCAGTCTATGAGATCCGCCAGGACTTGGGCATGAGGACCACCCGCCTCGTCTCTCTGTAGCTCTGGCTGCAGTCGGGGATCTGGACTGGCTGCCCAGCATCCCTGTAGGGCCGGTAGAGAGACATCGGTCCCATCTCCACCTGCCTGTTCGGGGTACTCCCAGGACCAGTCTATGAGGTCCGCTACCTCGGGTACCTCTGGTTGCTGCTGGGGAAGGAGACCGGTTGTCTCTTTCCTCTGCAAAGGTGCACTGCCACTGGGGAGGGAGGTCGCTGCTCTCCTCTCCCTGTGACTTGGTCTGCTGCTGGGGAGGGAGACCGATTGTCCCCAGCCTCAGTCTCCACAATCTGAACTCACATTCCAGTGCTGCTCAGTTCTCCTCATCCAACTCTCTCCAACTCACCTCTTCTGAAGGGTCTGGGCCATACTCGACTAGCCACCTCTTTACCTCCTTGATGTAAGCGTCGCCCTCATAGCAATAGGTCATGTTTGCTTGGCCCCAACTCTGGGCCACTAGCGCTCCGATCTGCGCCTTGGAGTCCGCTGTAGACAGGGGCGCTGCACTCAATTATAGCTCCGTAATGCAACAGGTGTCTCTGAGCTGCTTCTCCTTGCACTAGGACGCCATCCCACCTCTGCCACCAAATGTGACAGACCACTGGCACTCCGACCAAATACCTCCGCCAATCGATGCTCCTAGTGCATGCCGAGGACTCCGAGCACCCCTCCAGACACCATAATCACTGCAGACCCCACTTCCAGCGATGCACCTGCGCCAGGATCTCGCCGTCTTTCACCCACCCTGGACCCAAGACCAAGGTCCAGCTTCCAGTGGGCAGACCTCTCCTAATCCAGAGAGCGTATCAGGAACAAGCTCTTACAGGATACCCAAGTGTAGTTATCTCATCCCCCAAGCATGAGCCGAGGCGTAATGCTGGGTAGAGATCTGTTTAATGGCACACAAAGCAACAGTATTCATGCAGTAAAACCACTCCTGCTCTGATAAAAACAAAATGACAGTTATAAAGTCAGACAGTGTGTGAATATGACAGTTATTGGGTCAGACGGTGTTTTAATGTAACAAGGTATTAAGGGTTTAACTGGTGTTGGGGGGGGGGGGGAAGAGGGAGAAAACAGTTGAACTAAGTCCATAAAACAGGGGTTTTCTTCACACACCCCAAAGGCCTCTCCAAAATCCAGTGGCGAGGTTACTTTCCCACACAATCTATTCACTATAACAACACAGTAGCACTCACGGTGCCCTTTTAAGCTGTGACAACAGTGTGTGTCATTTACATGCTACAAATACTATTCTTAATATTCTTTTAGCTTCTACCTGACTAAATGTGTAATATTTATACTTCGTGGATCTAGTGATAAATTATAACAACATATCCACAGTTTATTGGCAGTTGATGAGTAAGTGTAACGTACTCATAACAGAAATTCTCACCTCTGGCACGTGTTACATTTCCCTCCTTCCGCCCGGTTTATGATTACGTCACATCCGCCCCTTAACCACGCCCCACAACAGTAGGGATTCTGCTCAGAGTTCTAAAGCATAGAGACAAATCTGCGAAATGAAACACAGTCCAAAAATAAATAGATTAAAAAAAAACAGCCTTCAGCGTGAGGCTGCGAGGAATACTTTATGGCACAGAATGCAAAACACGGAGAACAGCGAGTCGGCCGCGTTGTTTAGTGGGGCGGAGACACGCGATGAACGTGTCATTGTGTCTCCTGTGCGTAGAGCTCCGGGGTCCGTGCCACATCTCGGGTGACGTCAGAGGGAGCCGCCATCTTGGCAGAGAGCTGTCCAGCTGAGCTGTCGGAGCTGCGGTGAGGAAGCCGGGGGATGATCCCAGGCCGGCCCGGCAGATAGCGCTCCCTCAGCCCGCAGCACCCCCGCTCCGTGTCCGCTCACCATGACATCCCTCACCCAGCGCAGCTCCGGCCTGGTCCAGCGCCGCTCAGACAGAGACAGGCCGCCCGACGGCGACAGCGAGGACCGGGACCGGGAGGAGCAGGAGGAGGACGAGAAGGCCGGAGACAAGGAGGCTCGGCTCACCCTGATGGAGGAGGTGCTGCTACTGGGACTGAAGGACAGGGAGGTGAGAGATACACTGTGTGTGTGTGTGTGTGTGATAACAGTGGCAGACTGTTATATTATACACTGTGTGTGTGTGTGTGTGTGATAACAGTGGCAGACTGTTATATTATACACTGTGTGTGTGTGATAACAGTGGCAGACTGTTATATTATACACTGTGTGTGTGTGATAACAGTGGCAGACTGTTATATTATACACTGTGTGTGTGTGTGTGTGTGTGTGTGATAACAGTGGCAGACTGTTATATTATACACTGTGTGTGTGTGTGATAACAGTGGCAGACTGTTATATTATACACTGTGTGTGTGTGTGTGTGTGTGTGTGTGTGTGATAACAGTGGCAGACTGTTATATTATACACTGTGTGTGTGTGTGATAACAGTGGCAGACTGTTATATTATACACTGTGTGTGTGTGTGTGTGTGTGTGTGATAACAGTGGCAGACTGTTATATTATACACTGTGTGTGTGTGTGATAACAGTGGGAGACTGTTATATATACACTGCGGTGTGTGTGATAACAGTGGCAGACTGTTATATTATACACTGTGTGTGTGTGTGGTGTGATAACAGTGGCAGACTGTTATATTATACACTGTGTGTGTGTGTGATAACAGTGGCAGACTGTTATATTATACACCGTGTGTGTGTGTGTGTGTGTGAGATAACAGTGGCAGTGACTGTTATATTATACACTTCAGGTGTGTGTGTGTGATAACAGTGGCAGAGAGACTGTTATATTATACACTGTGTGTGTGTGTGTGATAACAGTGGCAGAGACTGTTATATTATACACTGTGTGTGTGTGTGATAACAGTGGCAGACTGTTATATTATACACTGTGTGTGTGTGTGTGTGTGTGTGTGTGTGTGATAACAGTGGCAGACTGTTATATTATACACTGTGTGTGTGTGTGATAACAGTGGCAGACTGTTATATTATACACTGTGTGTGTGTGTGTGTGTGTGTGTGATAACAGTGGCAGACTGTTATATTATACACTGTGTGTGTGTGTGATAACAGTGGCAGAGACTGTTATATTATACACTGTGTGTGTTATACACCGTGTGTGTTATACACTGTGTGTGTGTGTTATATTATTCACTGTGTGTGTGTGATCAGTGACAGACTGTTATATTATACACTGTGTGTGTGTGTGTGATAACAGTGGCAGAGACTGTGTGTTATATTATACACTGTGTGTGTGTGTGTGATAACAGTGGCAGAGACTGTGTGTTATATTATACACTGTGTGTGTGTGATAACAGTGGCAGAGACTGTGTGTGTTATATTATTCACTGTGTGTGTGTGATCGGTGACATACTGTTATATTATACACTGTGTGTGTTATACACTGTGTGTGTGTGTTATATTATTCACTGTGTGTGTGTGATCAGTGACAGACTGTTATATTATACACTGTGTGTGTGTGTGATAACAGTGGCAGAGACTGTGTTATATTATACACTGTGTGTGTTATACACTGTGTGTGTGTGTTATATTATTCACTGTGTGTGTGTGATCAGTGACATACTGTTATATTATTCACTGTGTGTGTGTGATCAGTGACATACTGTTATATTATACACTGTGTGTGTGTGATCAGTGACAGACTGTTATATTATACACTGTGTGTGTGTGTGATAACAGTGGCAGAGACTGTGTGTTATATTATATTATACACTGTGTGTGTTGTGGTAAGTGACAGAGAATGTGTTATATTATATTATACACTGTGTGTTATATTATATACTGTGTGTGTCTGTTATATTATACACTGTGTGTGTGTTGTCTGTTATATTATACACTGTGTGTGTGTTATATTATATTATACACTGTATGTCACTGTTATACCTGTGATAACAGTGACAGAGAACCACATACAGAGACTGTGTATAGTGTATTATACACTGTGTGTATAGTGTGTTATATTATATTGTACACTGTGCGTGTGTGTTATTTTATACAATGTGTGTGTTATTTTATACACTGTGTGTGTTATTTTATACACTGTGTGTGTTATTTTATACACTGTGTGTGTGTTATATTATACACTGTGTGTGTGTTATATTATACACTGTGTGTCACTGTTATACCTGTGATAACAGTGACAGAGAACCACATACAGAGACTGTGTGTATAGTGTGTTATATAATACACTGTGTGTATTATATTATACACTGTGCGGTGATAACAGTGACAGAGAACCACATACAGAGACTGTGTATAGTGTATTATACACTGTGTGTATAGTGTGTTATATTGTACACTGTGTGTGTGTGTAATATTATATTATACACTGTGTGTGTGTGTTATTTTATACACTGTGTGTGTTATTTTATACACTGTGTGCTAACAGTGAAAGAGAATGTGTGTTATACACTGTCTGTGTGTGGTGTGTTATACACTGTCTGTGTGTGGTGTGTTATACACTGTCTGTGTGTGGTGTGTTATACACTGTCTGTGTGTGGTGTGTTATACACTCTGTGTGTGGTGTGTTATACACTGTCTGTGTGTGGTGTGTTATACACTGTCTGTGTGTGGTGTTTTATACACTGTGCGGTGATAACAGTGACAGAGAACCACATACAGAGACTGTGTGTATAGTGTATTATATTATACAGTGTGTGTGTGTAATATTATTATACACTGTGTGTGTGTGTGTGTTATATTATACACTGTGCTGTGATAAGTGACAGAGAACCACATACAGAGACTGTGTGTATAGTGTGTTATATTATACACTGTGTGTGTTTTATTATACACTGTGCGGCGATAACCGTGACAGAGAACCATATACAGAGACTGTGTGTTATATATTATACACTGTGCGGTGATAACAGTGACAGAGAACCACATACAGAGACTGTGTGTATTATATTATACACTGTGCTGTGATAAGTGACAGAGAACCACATACAGAGACTGTGTGTATAGTGTATTATATTATACACTGTGTGTGTGTGTAATATTATATTATACACTGTGTGTGTGTGTGTTATATTATACACTGTGCTGTGATAAGTGACAGAGAACCACATACAGAGACTGTGTGTATAGTGTGTTATATTATACACTGTGTGTGTTTTATTATACACTGTGCGGCGATAACCGTGACAGAGAACCATATACAGAGACTGTGTGTTATATATTATACACTGTGCGGCGATAACAGTGACAGAGAACCACATACAGAGACTGTGTGTATAGTGTATTATATTGTACACTGTGTGTGTGAAACCGTAAAATTATATAAAATAATTTGGCAGCAAAAAGAAGAATTTTTGTAGAAAAACTATACTTCTATAAGCCTCACAGTGGGCAATTGTTGTACACTGCTGGATGTGAACTTAGGTCAATACTAAGCAGTCTTTTAATAAGATATTATTGGAGCCAATATTTGTTGTTTCTCCAGCAGGTATGCGGCAATGCTGGATGATATTGTAAAGCGCTACGGAATCTGTTGGCGCTATATAAATGGCAACTATAATAATAATAATAGCCTGAATCCTATAAATCTGACTGCCAGTTAGCACATGAGACAAAATGGAATGAAAATGACCCTAGCGTGTGTTCTCTTTCTCAAGTGAGAGGGAATACTGCAGACTAGAAAAAAAGTGGTTACACAGCATATACCAGCTTTTAGTACATTTGAACAAATGGGAAAGGGTTGCCATTGAACTACAAATAGTGCGGCCCACCAGCCTGGTGGTGCTGCCTATTCTGTGAGAGGTCAGCAAATGCTGGGAGTTGTGTACAAGCAGATCTTCTAACACAGATGGCGATAATTTGGTGGGTGAGACATTGACTTTCAGCTACATGGAAACCACCCAGTCATAAGTAGAGCTGATAAACAAGTAGGAACCAAGATGTTTTGTTGTATTTCATTTTATTTTTGTTGCTTCTACGAACTTGTATAGATAGGTATAATTATATTTTTTCATCTCTTATCCGTTTGTGATATTTATTTAAGATTTAAAAAAGTCTTGAGCTCTAGTTTATATAGAGAAGAGCTTGTTTTTTTGATTCGTATTATAATGATAAACTCCTACAGTCGCCCTGTTCTGATTATAGAAACAGACTTCTTTTCAGATGCTTAAGGAATCTGTCAGGGCATGTTTGTAGACAGCATTAAGTGTCGCTAGACATCAGTACACAAAACTGCTGTTTTACTTAATCAGAATTTTGAGCGATTTATTTATTTTTCCAAAAGGTGAATGAGCAAAGGTAGTAGACAAAGGGAGGTAACCGTAAAAAAACAAAAAACAAACTGTGACCATGGAAAGATCATAAGGGCCTGGCTGTAGGTAGATAATTTGTCTCATGAGGAAGGGAAGAGGGGAAACAGACCATCAAAAGAACATGTAGGGAGACTGGAATAGTTCACATGAGAAAACACATTTTACAGTGAACAATAAGTTGGACTGTATGAGCATGAGCTGGGGGCAAACAATCCAACGGGTTTCTTCTTGACAGTGCTCTGATGGCACAGCCTGCAAAGGAAAAAGCCAATCACATCTGGCAACAGCTGTAATTTTTGCACAGAACCAAAATTAGGCAGTTTGGATTACAGCTCCAAGTCGACTTACCTCACATGTGCCGGGGTGCATCTAGATCCGGCACAAAAGTGATGATTTTTCTGTATAAGTAGTGATTCGCGATAAAACTCAGAAAATAGCGGTTGCTTGCTCCATGACCATTTCTAAAAGCAGAACTGAAGGTTTGGGGTAACCCTTTAAACAATCAAATTTGATAGTGTAAAATATATAAAGTAAGGATTTAATGCTTCTGTGTGAAGCATTGGTTTGACCGAGCACATTACCTGCTGTGCTTGTGCTCTGTTTTTAAAGGTTACCTATAGGCACCCAGACCACTTCATCTGATTGAAGTGGTCCGGGTGCAGTGTCCCTGTAATTTTAGCCCTGCAGCTGAAAACATTGCGGTTTCAGTGAAACTTCAATGCTAATATTGCAGGGTTAAGCCTGCCTTTAATGGCCATCAACTAGACAGCCACTAGAAGCGCCTCCTGACCTTTCACAGAGTTTGCCTCCATGAAACGACGCTTTTTAAATCTAAGCTTGTCCTTTAATCTCAACTTTGCACTAAATGTAATGATTTTACTATAAAAGCACAGATACATAATTAAAGGGATGCTATAATCACTTAAACGGCAAATTTATTTTATGATTTTATTTGTTCTTGTTCTAAATGACTTAATATAAATAGCTAACTGGTCCAAGGCATCTAAAAATGCTCTGTAGTGCAGTGTAACCAACCCACACCCTTTACAACATGAGTCTCTCTGGTTAGCACTGTACACCTCCTAAAAATGTAAGCAGGCAAGCATCTGACAGATAAATACTGTTTGTTTTTTAAATATTTTTAATCTATTATATATTTTCAAAACGTCCAAATACAGTCTCCTTCCCTTATAAAGGACAACTGAACCCTGAACTTTCCAGTGTTTGCCTGTTCTTAAGACAGGTCAGGTAGCTGAGTTCCCTGACTGCCTTTGGCAGAATAGGTTAAGCTACTCTCATTGTTTGTGTTTTGAACAGATTGGTGATGGGATTGTGGCTCCTGGAGGGCTCAGTCTGGCTTTTGGAAAGGACTACCTGGCCTGTGCGCTTACCCTTCATTTATCTTAGACTATGGACCACAGGACGTGCTCCTGTGTTTCACTCCTTTATCACATCGACCCAAGCCATGCCGGAAGAGGCGCAGGTGCATTTGTACGCACGGCTCTGAGCCTCTGTAGGTGGAAAGCACACTGAAGCCTAAAGTCATGATATTTAAACCTAGCAGTAACTATGTGGCCTCCAGGTTTTGTGTCACATTAGTTACCAGCTGTCCAGCACACCAGAGGCCTATTAAGGTTAGACATGTAGCTTTTACTTGAATAGTATTTTTCTCTCCTAAACAAGTTCAGTTTTGCCTATGTAACTTGTCAGGTGCAATCCACATTAGCCTCTGTGTGTTCCACCATTTTATCATACATACAGCGATTGAATTAGGCAAGGTTGTTGGTACACCAATTCCTTATAGCCTCTATTTCCGTATAGAAGACATGAGATCTTTAAAGGGACACTATATAGTCACCTGAACAACTTTAGCTTAATTAATCAGTTTTGGTGTATAGAACATGCCCCTGCAGCCTCACTGCTCAATCCTCTGCCATTTAGGAGTTAAATCCCTTTGTTTATGAACCCTAGTCACACCTCCCTGCACAGCCTTCCATAAACACTTCCTGTAAAGAGAGCCCTATTTAGGCTTTCTTTATTGCAAGTTCTGATTAATTAAGATTTTCTTATCCCCTGCTATGTTAATAGCTTGCTAGACCCTGCAAGAGCCTCCTGTATATGATTAAAGTTCAATTTAGAGATTAAGATACAATTATTTAAGGTAAATTACATATTTTTGAAAGTTTAACTAGTTTTTGTTTTTCATGCAGGCTCTGTCAATCATAGCCAGGGGAGGTGTGGCTAGGGCTGCATAAACAGAAACAAAGTGATTTAACTCCTAAGTTACAGTGAATTGAGCAGTGGAATTGCAGGGGAATTATCTATACACTAAAACTGCTTTATTTCGCTAAAGTAATTTAGGTGACTATAGTGTTCCTTTAAGGTAAGTAGATATTGGGTTATGTTCCAGTAAACCTGTTTGTATATTTTAGGCTATTTCCAAGGCTTAGTTTTGCACTGGGGAAAAAACTTTACCCTGTGTATGCTGGTCTGAGTGTTGTAGAAAGACTGGGTTCCCTATAATGTGTGTGTGAAACCCAAATCTTTGTGGAACACACGCACAGGTTCTGTCTCTCCAATAACCAGAAAAGTAATGTGCGCACAGGTTTAAATTCATCTCCTCCACCAGCAAATGAATGTACAAGTTATTTATATCCTGTTTCGGTGCAGAATACCCACCTATGTACAGCCTAACTGCCTGTTTGTGTGCAGTGTCCAGACCACTAAATTCTGTGTATTTTCTTTCTTGTCTTTAAACACACTAAGATATTTGGTGCACTAGTGAGACCTGTAAAGGTAGATACGTACTTGGTGTATGTGAAATGTACAATCAGGGATATTACTCCCCAAGTTTCAATTACAATTTTTTTTTTTTTTGTAAATAGTATTTTTTATTTATTTTTTATGTGAAAGGTCAATAAAAAAGTGAATATCGTTTAGGCTCGCAGGCCTCATGTTTAGCATCGTCATAAGCGTTTAGTTGCGCTTGAATCACACAGGTTTCAGCATGGTACAGTATTGCTAGTATTTGAGATACGCAGATATCGCTTTCAGTATCTTCCGTGCGGCACACAGGCCCCTTCGTTAGATTAATGGCTTTTACCTTAGATGTGTGTTGCGGTGGTCTGTGGGTCCCCTAAGTGTTACGTCTGTCGGGTGATTACCCTCGTCGGTAGCTAAGTGAAGTGTACCCGCTCTCGGGTCCACAGGCGTGTGTGATTGGCAGCGCCTGTGTGTCGAGGGATCGGTCTGGGTTCTCTGTGTTTAAACTGGCATTTGCTCCCAGACAGTGCGTTGTTTGGTGTGAAGGCGTGAGCATTCTGCCTACGGTCTAGGTGTAAGCTATGTGTCAGCCGTCTGTGGGTGCGGCCACCTCCTGTGAGTCGTATCTCCACGCGGTTGTGCCGCTCAGTATAGTTTTTTTTGCGGTTGTAGGCAGCCCCTATGGGTGGTGTTTTACTGGTTCTGGTTGATCGCTCTCGTTGGTTGTGTTGGTTAATTGGTTACAATTATTTATGTAGTGCCAACATATTCTGTAACGCTGTACAATTGGTAAACCAACACAAACAATCCTGACAAAATCCTTTTTTGATGTACAAAAGCAATAGGTGAAGAGAGCCCTACCCGAACAAGCTCACAATCTGAAAAGTTCAGGATTTTCCTTGGACATAGTACATGCCTCTACAATTTTACCATTAACAGGGTTGTTTTAACTCTGTATGCTGTCAGTCTAAATTGGCTACATGAAACCTTGTGCTTCTTGAATTTCTGTCATCTTATGTTACTGACTATATTTGAGTTGAGCTACTTATCCTGTTCTGATAGTGACATTCTCACTTTAAGTCTATGGCAGAGTTTAACTTCTGCTGCTTTTACTAATTTATTTTGAGATGTGTGTGTGTGTGTGTGTGTGTGTGTGTGTATGTATATATATATATATATATATATATATATATATATATATATATATATATATATATATATAATGTGTGTATAGAGATATATATTTACACACACACACAGATACGTGGCAAGTGTGCATTCACTTCACTGCAAATATGAGAACTCTACCTATCTTAAAAGACACTGTGGAAATATTTTAGTTTAAACATGCTTTAGTTTGCTGCCCAGAGCACACAAAGGGTCATTCATTCTCCTGGTAGGCAGAGCACTGTAATTCCATTAACGTCACATTCACTTTTAAATTCTAAGACGTCCTGTGAATAAGCCCTTCCTCTGTAAGGTCTCTGGAAAAATAAGTTTTCTTCAATCATTTATCAGTCCTGAGAAAGGTGTGAATTTTTTTTTTCTTCTTCTTTTGGGTAAATTAAAACATTGTTCATTGCATAAGACTAAAGAAAAATCAATTATTGCAGTGGAAAATACTCTTCATATTTCATATGTCTTTGTTTAAGAGAATAAAATAATTTCTGGGAAAAGTCCTTTTCCTCTATTCCTTATCGAACCTGCTCCTTGTTAGACTCTAGATCTAAATGGTATTTATAAAGTTAAGTTCTGAAACTCAAGAACATTCTTTCAGGAAAGCATTGTCACTAACACATGCAACCCAATGCTTATGTATAAAGAAAATCAGGTTTTAAAACTTGTTGGCTGCAATTGGAGAACTTTACCCTCAGCTACATTATGTTTCATGTATAGCACGTGAAAGAATAAAAACACAAAGCGCAAAAATAAATAAATAAATAAAATACTGAAGGACCACTAAAAGAAGAACCCAGACCACTTTATCCCTTTAGCTTTAACCCTTGCGGTTTACTAGATTTTGTTTTCAGGGTTAGCACACATGATGTCCCCTGTCTTCCTGACAGCCACTAGAAACGCTTCCCCTATGTGAAGTTACTTTGTTCTCAATCAAATGCTGCTCCAAGAGCGTATTTGATTGGCGCAGGAAGATTAGTGATCTCAGCCAAGGAAGCGGAACAGTCGCAGTGAGGGCTAGAGTGTGAGTTAATACTTTTTTTCTTTAAAAAATATATATATTTTTAATTATTTGAGGAATGGGAACCTAAATAGTCAGTAGGACACTATGGCAGTACATGCTTGTATTTTGGCTGGGGGATTGTGGATGCGGGCGACTGGCTGCGCGTATTGTTCCTGGGCGGCGAGGGAGCTGTGCTGTCCATGATATGCTCTCTTGCGTGGCGGTTAGTGCGGATGGGGCTGGAATATGATATCTCTAAGCGGTGCGAGGGAGCAGAACAGTGACATCACAACTTCCTTTGCCGTCCGACTACTATTTGCGCAGCCGGCCCATTGCCTGCCTCCACAATCCCTATGGCAGAAAGTATCAAGCTTGATAATCTTAGCCAATCCAATGTTTTTCCACAGGCAAGTATTGGTAGGCTGTTGCGCATGTGCTGCAAAACGCTGCACCAATCAGTATCTCCTCATAGAGATGCATTGAATAAATGAATCTCTATGGGGAACGTTCAGCGCTGCTGTGTAGAGCGTGGAGGTGCTGCACGCTGTGCAGAGCGTGGAGGTGCTGCACGCTCACTCTGACCCAGGAAGCACCTCTAGAGGCTGTCTGAGTGACTTCCACTAGAGATGTCACTAGGAAGCAATGTAAACACTGCCTTTTCTCTGAATGTTTACATTGAAAAGCCTTCAGGGTCAGTCTATAGACACCAGAACCACTACATTAAGTCTTTAAGAATTGTATTTTTGTTGTTGAATATAAAGCTTTGTAAGTTTAAAAACAATCTGGCTCCTAACTTCTTTAATTGGCCCCTATATTCAAAGCAAATTTGTCAAACCCTATATTATAGTGTTCTTTAACTTATGAGGCAAGCATAGACTGTAAGAAGGATCATTGAGACTAATCTTGATGGGCGTAACGCTAAATAATTATTGGTAACCTAGGTGACAAATGGTGACACAACTTCTGTTTCTTGTTGCTCATTATGCATGTGCATGCACCTTGCCAAAAATCAGTGCAAGATTTGACAATCTTCAGTAAACTCTTGTTTTATTCCCCCCTAATTCCGGACGGATTTTTGTATAAAGATTTATTGTAGTAACCTCGAAAATCATGTTGGCTACATTTTTATGTTAGATTTATTTTGGTCTGTGCATTCATTAGAGTTTTCGCAATTGGACATTTTTATATTCTCATCAATGTTTGCCTTGTAAAGCAGAATGTTGGAGGTGAAATTTTGTTTTTTTCTTTCAGGGTTATACATCTTTTTGGAATGACTGTATTTCCGCTGGGTTACGTGGCTGTATGTTAATTGAACTAGCATTCAGGGGACGAATTGCTCTTGAAGCTGGAGGGATGAGGCGTAAAAGTCTACTGTCAAGAAAGGTAAAAAAAAAAAATTACTTTGTGGTTGTTTTTTTTTTTTGGCAAAAAAAAATCTCAATTGGCTTGGTGTGATCTATTGAATTTAAAGAAATGTTTCTGTGACCCATTTAACTGTAATGTAGTATATCACCACATAAATTCATCAGGGTACCTTCATTATACTTTCCCTATTGTGAAAGGTATCTTCATTGTGCATAAGAAGACTGTGTTCCTGCAAAATCAACTGAGGGCAGTTGCATGAGCCCTAGGGAATAAGATGTGCCTGTTAGAACCATTGGGATTCACTAACCGCATTGGGCATTCAAATTTAGATCACGTCACAGGAGACAATCTAGTAACTTTGACTACTCTGGTGCGATTGGGTTGTCCGCACTTTCTCTTTACTCTTTGGAAAGACAGTTTTTGTTTGGTTTGACCAAAAACTAGGGTTCTCCATGCAATAAAAGATGTCAAAATACAGATAAAATGTATAATCCTCATACAATTCTGTCCAGCAGAGATAAGTCCACTGGTGCTTCAGCTAAAATGGTTTGACCCAGGCCTGGGGACAGCACCAACAAATAAATGCACCATGCCGAGGAGGAGTGGCCACTGAAGATGTCCCTAGGCAGCAAGGTAAACACTGCCTTTTCTATTAAAAAGCAGTGCTTACAGCAAAGTTGGAGTATACTTAACATAACAATTAAATTAAGCTGTAGTTCTTCTGGTGACTTTAGTGTCCTTTAAGAGTCATTTAAATGTTTGGCTGGCTTCCATCTTCACTTTGGCCATTGTGTTTATGCAGACTCCGAACAAATGTACACACATGCTAAGTCAACAATGACACACTAACTCACTACGTGGCTGTTTTCACTTTAGTGACAAGCAGCTATATATTTGGTCCGCTGACTAACCCTTTATTATGTTAGATGGATATTGCATACAACATTCTATTATTTTTTTTTTATTTTTTTAATCCTCTCAAGATTGTTGGCCATATTCTATAAACTTGCTACAGTTTTCACTGGAGAATCTGACTCATAATAATCAGTAATACATTTTAATACCTAAAGACGGTACAGGTGTACTATAACCATTTACAAAGTTAAGAGTTTTATAGACCTATAGTAAGGTGCACAGTTAAACAATTCTACCAAATAGATTTGTTCACAAATTCTTTTCAGCTGTGTTGAACAAATCCAATTTATGTTAATTGTCACCAAAACCAATCGATCTGTCTAGGATTTACATGTGGAGTCAGACAAATCTCAACGTAGCTGAAGATGATTTGTGCACAACTTGCTTAACCTAGTGCTTGTCACTTTAATATAGGTTTATGTTTAGAACCTACCTTCTGAATACCTTACAAAACTGTGTGCATGTGTACCTAGAATAATTGATGCTGGGTTACAGGCAAGGGGTGGTCTCACCAAATATTGATTTGATTTAGATTTTTTTTTTTTCCCCTGTGCACTCACTTAGGATTTTGTTAATTGAAAAAGAAACTAAAATATACTAACATTTCTACTTTTGCAATTCTTACTCTACAGTGTTTTTAACACCTGCAAAAACTTTGGCACAGCAGTGTGTACTTTTCTATATATAAAATATTTTTTTCCTTTTTTTTTTTTAATGGAGTAAAATAACATTTGGGCTGTGACTGTTTATACGTGGTATCCGTGAGTGCAGGAAATGTATGGATATATAAACTTATCAACCACAACCGTAAAACCAACCTGCCTAATATAATGTAGGTCACCCTCATGCTGCCAAAACAGTTCTGATGTGTCAAGGCATGAACTCCCCAAGACCTCTGAACATGTCCTGTGGTATTAGGCACAAATACAGCAGCAGATCCGTTAACCCCTTAAGGACCAAACTTCTGGAATAAAAGGGAATCATGACATGTCACACATGTCATGTGTCGTTAAAGGGACACTATAGTCAACTACAGCTTATTGAATTTGTTCTGGTGAATAGAATCATTACCTTCAGGCTTTTTGCTGTAAACACTGTCTTTTCAGAGAAAATACAGTGTTTCCATTACAGCCTAGTGATAACTTCACTGGCCACTCCTCAGATGGCTGTTAGAGATCCTTCCTGGGTCATGGCTGCCTAAAATGCATCCAAACATTCAGTATCTCCTTCCTCTGCATGCAGACATTGAACTTTCCTCATAGAGATTCATTGATTCAATTCATCTCTATGAGGAGATGCTGATTGGCCAGGGCTGTGTTTGAATTGTACTGGCTCTGCCCCTGATCTGCCTCTTTCAGTCTCAGCCAATCCTATGGGAAAGCATTGTGATTGGCTCAGGCCACCACTTCTGATGTCAGTGGGCAGGTCTAAAGGAAACACGGACAAACTATGCAGCTGCAGGCTTGAATTCAAGTAAGATTTTTACTTTATTGTTAGAGGCATGAGAGACCAGGGTGGTTAGATGGTGGTTTTAACCCTATAGGGTCAGGAATACATGTTTGTGTTCCTGACCCTATAGTGCTCCTTTAAGTCCTGCATGTTGCGAGGTGCTGTCTCCCTGCCGTGAGTCACTTCCTCCCAGATAGTCAGTCTGTATCTGCATGTGTGTTACTGTGAGTGTCAGTGTTTATATCTGTGTATCTGTATGTGTATCACAGTGTGTGTGTGGCAGTGCATGTGTACATGTGCATACATCTCATCATTCAAATCGCCAACACTACATACAAACACAGTCCTGCACTGAAACGTCAACAATACATACAAACACACCTTTGTGTTAAACACCAGAAATATATATTAAAAAAAATCTACACATATATGCATGCTTGCATTCAAACACCAACAACACATACAAACACACCCCTACATTTACACAAACATACTCCATACAAAAACATGCTTCCATTCAAACACACCTCAGTGCTAAATACAACTCTGCACGCATGGGAAAATGGTTCCGCTACAGCGTTGGGAAGGGGAGAGCGTGATTGCATGTCAGGGAGTGGGGATCAGGGGGCCCCATCAAATGCTTGCCCAGGGCCCAATCAATATTAAAGATGGCCCTGTATATATCACACCCTTGACAGGTGCCATTGTAACGATATAATTACTAATGTTATACACTGATTAGCCACATTAAAACTACTGAAGTGAATATTTTTTTTTTTTGTTTCTTCATATTATGCTTTGGAGATTAAGGATCACATACTGAAAGTGTTTGCAAAATCTTGCATTTCGACAGCTTAGTCATGAAACTGTAATCATTGCTTTCTTATCTCGAACACATTTTGTTTCTTGCTTATGGTGTCTGTTATGTGTTATACTTTTTTTCTGTCTTTTTTCCCTTTTAGGTCATTTGTAAATCTGAAGCTCCTACAGGGGATGTAATGCTCGATGAAGCCTTAAAACATATAAAAGAAACCCCTACCCCAGAGACTGTGCAGAGCTGGATTGAGCTTCTTAGTGGTATGTGAATAATATTTACTGTTTTTATTTAAGGTAGATTAATGTGTAGATATATTGAGATCTGAAGATGGTTTTCTTCGTCCCTTGTCTAAAAGTAATGTATATTTTAACATTTATTTTGGTTGTTTTCATTTGGGAAAACCACATATAGTTTTTAATGATTAAAGATTTTGACATCCTGGTCATAATTATTTAATACCAGTTTTTTCGCTCCATTACCAAGACCAGCACTCTGCATGCCGCTTGTTTGCAGCATTGTTACAGGCAGGTTCCCATGTGGAATTGCCTGACACATATATGAGACGTTCAACACAATTTGTTTTTGTGTTGAAAACACTGCATACAGTCTTATGGAAGTATTGTCTAAACATTGTCTGTGCACAAGGACTTGTGTTAGAACCACTGTTCTTTTCAATATATGTAACTTACATAATCTTTATTAGAAGTGAGCAAGCAATCCAGAATTCTGAGTAATGTTTTGCCCAGTGATAACCTTGTAGCATCTTCAGATGTCACCAGTTCAGCAAATGATGATAAACCTGATTTTGTCTGTTCTGCAGACATTGGTGTACACAGGAACGCCTTTTAAATGTAATCTCAAAGTTGGTCTCCTGGCATCCTACACCGCTTCCCACTCGCTTTGGGTTTTTTTTTTTTGCTGCTGAAGAACGAGGACATTTTTGTCCTAGTAGGTGGTAGTTTGCTGAGAGCATCCACTGGCAATATCGGTCAATTATTGGTCCCCCTTTCAGAGAAATAAAATTTTTGGCATTGGTGCTGAGTGACAAGGTACCAAATTTGCAATTAAACTGTTAGAAAACGGTCTGCCCTTTGAAGTTAAGATAGCACCTGGACACTCCTAACCTCAAAACAGCTTTAGCAGCTGAAGTTGTCATGAAGTTTGCAGGTGGGGGTGTACTTTTTAGGTGCAACAAAATGGAAGCCGGATAGGTTACAGTGTAGAAATAAGAGAATAAACAAATAAAAATAAACAGCAGAACTGAGACTCCATTTTAATAAAAACATTTTTTCTTACTTTATTTCCCACAGTAAACTGTAACGTTTTAGAAAAAACAATGGTTTTGTATGCTGCCAAACAAATTTTAGCGAAAATAAAGGAAGAAAACATTTTTACATTTGAGTTTCCACTCTGCCATTTATTATTTTTGCATACATATTTATGTGTAAAGACCTCCAACAGCCTTGGCACCTGAGACATGGGGAAAATCTGCATTTAAAGGCATTGAAATATAAACCATTATGGCAATTAATGCCATATCCTCCTGAGGATAGTTCATAATACTGATTTAGTTACTGTGAAATAATCATATATTTTTTTTTTTTTGTACTTAATTTAGCACTTTAGTGTTCGGAATACAGTTTTGTATTCCTAACTCTAAAATGTTCCCCCTATTCTAGTGCCGAGGTCCCTTGGCACTGGCTTCATATCCTCCTCTGTCAGCAGTGCCAAAGAGGGACCTAATGCCATGTGTATTGAGCCATCCCCAAGAAAAAAGTATTGATTCAGTGCTTTCCTATGGGGGATTTGAAGATGGATGTCCTCATGGACAGGAGGAACCGCCTCTAGTGGCTGTCTAGTAGTTCGCCACTAGAGGCAGTCATAACACTTTCATGTAAACATAGCACTTTCAGAGTTAACAGATAAAATAGCAGGGTTAAGGTGACTGTGCACCCAGAACACTTAATTGAGATGATGTTATGTTATTATTTAAGATTATGTTATTATTTATATAGCGCTAACAAACTCCGCAGCGCTTTACAGTGGGTGAACGAACAAACATGTAGTTGTAACCAGACAAGTTGGACACACAGGAACAGAGGGGTTGCGGGCCCTGCTCAATGAGCTTGCATGCTAGAGGGAGTGGGGTAAAGTGACATAAAAGATAAGGATAGTATTAGACTAATTAAACTAACAGTTTAATTCATACGCTTTTATGAAGAAGAGGGTTTTTAATGACTTTTTTTGAAGGAGTGGAGACTGGGTGAGCGTCTAACGGAGGAGGGAAGTGAGTTCCACGGGAACGGTGCAGCCCTCGAAGTCTTGAAGGCAAGCATCAGAGGTGGGAGTACGGACAGAAGATAGACGTAAGTCTTCAGCAGAGCGTAAGGGCCTAGACTGGACATACTTGTGTATTAGGAGGATAGATAGGTGGGAGCAGCATTATGTAGTGATTTGAAAGCAAGAACCAGAATTTGAAATTGAGCCCTATATCTTACAGGAAGCCAATGTAGGGACTGACAGAAGGATGAGGCGTGGGAGGTGCGGGCGGACAGGAAGATGAGCCTTGCCGCCGCTGTCATTATGGACTGTAATAGCGCAAGTTGGGAGAACATAAGACCACTGAGAAGCGGATTACAGTAGTCAAGGCGAAAAAGGACTGGGGAATGGACCAGCACCTTAGTCGCATCTGGCGTTAAGTAGGGTCGGATGCGTGCAATGTTTTTGAGATGGGATTTGGCGATAGACTAAACATGAGGCGTGAAGGAGAGGTCGGAGTCCAAGAGAACGCCTAGACAGCGAGCCTGCGTGGTGGAGTAGATGGTAGCACCGTTGATTTGGAGGGAGGGAGACACAAGAGTAGCAACACTTGAGGGAGGAAAGACCTGAATTTCAGTTTTGGTTGAGTTTAAGGAAGTGGGCAGCCATTTATTGGGAATTATCCCCGTATGTATACAGTTAGAAATAGCAGTGACGCAGTAGTCAAGAGGGACGGGGAGAGATCTGGAGAGAACAGATTGGAATACGAATGACACGCAGATCTATGTCCCTTTAAGAAAAGAGGCGTTTACTTCAAGAAAGTCCTTATTTTATCTGTTTAAAATGCAAAGATATATATATATTTTTTTTTATTTTTTTTCAACAGCACTAAAAAAAAAATTCTTGTTAGAATTTTAAATGGGTTTAATGGGTTTTTGGTGAATGCTTCATGAACAGAGAGCCAAGCGAGTTCCTGTGCAATGTAGTATCACTGCATTATTCTGAAGTACTGCATAATGACTACTCGATAACCTCTAAAGCTTGTCATTTTTTTTTAATATTACATAATAAAATGTCAAATTAGAATTATTTAAATTGAATGAAATGTTCCATTCCTGACCAGCAGTCTACAAACCAAACAAAACTGCAGTTTTATCCCATATTTATGTGATAGGTAAGTATCAAAGTTTCCAATTGTTACGTTAATATTTTTCTAATGGGGGGGCAGGGAATGTAGTGAAGTGTTTGATATGCTTGGATATATTGGAATTGCCATCTACGTTTACGTATCAAGTTCAGCTATTGTAAAAAAAATGTAAATATTTTTTTCTCCTGGCATTAAAACCTAATTTTCTTTTCAGGTGAGACATGGAATCCGTTGAAACTACACTTCCAGTTAAGAAATGTACGTGAACGTCTAGCTAAAAATCTTGTTGAAAAGGGTGTCCTGACTACAGAGAAGCAAAACTTTCTTTTGTTTGACATGACCACGCATCCCCTCACCAACAACAACATCAAGCAACGCCTTATCAAGAAAGTGCAGGAAGCGGTCCTTGATAAGTGGGTAAAAGATGCTCACCGCATGGACAAGCGTTTGTTGGCCCTTATTTACTTAGCCCACTCTTCTGACGTCATAGAGAACGCCTTTGCACCACTCTTGGATGACCAGTATGATCTTGCCATGAAAAGAGTGCGTCAGTTGCTTGATTTGGACCCCGAAGTGGAGTGTACAAAACCGAATGCTAACGAAATCCTGTGGGCCGTAGTAGCCACCTTCACTAAGTAAAGGCAGCGGACTGGAATGTTCATTACGTTAATACGGTTGTTTCTGCTTGACATTTTCAGTAATTTGTATTTTTGCTTAATTTGAATCAGCCAAGAAGACATTGTCCATTCGCAGGATCCTGCTGGTACAAGACAACTTCCTGTTGAAAGAACAATATTGCCATATTGGCATTCCACTACTCCTTAATTTCATGTACCTAATAAACCATTAGTTTTTTTTTGTTTTTTTTCCTTCTCTACCGAAAAGGTTTAGATCTAATAAATGTCTGCAAGGCTCATACACTTGCACAGCTGTAAACTTGTCTCAAGTTTATCCACCAGTACTTTTGCAAGGATACAAAAGTCACACAAAGGTCTTTGAATCACCAAAGTTGAATTGCTCAGTCCCTTTCGCCACACTTACATTTGTTAGGTGCATTATATAACCATTTTAACATGGTTATATTTTTATGCTGCTCAGCAAGCTTTTTTTTTTTTTTTTTGAATCCTTCATTACCCCATGACCACCCCCTTGTAAATTTAGTGTACACGCTGTCAAAATTTTAAATCTTTAAACTGTTAGTGTAGAACTCTAGTGGTTTTGAAAGCCATTTTGATATTGGGGAACATTCCATTACTAAATGTAAATAGTTTCACATGTATAGCGAAATTTTCACCTTGGTCCCCCAATTTTTTTCTTTCAAGAAAATACCCTCCTAACATCATGTCCTACTAAGATCTAAAACATTTCATACCTTATTTGCACGCTTCCAATCTAAAAATGTACTGTGAATCACACCGTTGATGGGCTACGCATGAGCTAGTGGTTCCATCGTTTCTGTTCTGTGGATGAGGAGCTTTTGTGATCCGTACAAAATATTGGGTGCAGGTTTTAATTTTCAGTGTACTCTTGTAATTTAATGTTTCTGTAAATCTGTCCCCTGTCTGTATAAGCCTAAACCCCATCCAATTGTCTCCTTAAAATGTTGCATGCTCATGTTTACAGATGACTAGCTCAAACAACTAAACACTATCTGTAACAGGACAAAACTATTTTGATTTTATAAATATATATTTTTTGTTATAAGATTATACAGGATAGCACATTATTGGACAAATTTCATGTTGATGTTCACGTTTGTTACCCGACATAATTTGTTAGCCTGTCATAATTTTTCTGTTGGTTTCACTCTGTAAATAAAATACAGTGAATATAAATCACCCCCTTTTAGTGCTGGAGGGATGTGATCAGGTTGCCGCCATTCTGCAGCGTCGCAGCACAGGAAGGGATAATGTGGGATTTCGAGACGATGAAAGAAATAGTTTTTGTTAGTATACTGAAAAAATGGTAACTATTGTTGCATTTATCAGATTCCCTCTTATCTGTATACTAGCTTTTTATTATCTGGTAAATAAACTATGATCTTTAAAGTGCCTGAAATAGGTGAATCTTGAGTGATTTGTAAACAAAGGGTATTTAAGTACTTTTGTAAATCAATATTGGTGCTTTAAATCTATCCAGCAAATACCAACTCTGTTCTAGTTGAGTTGCTGTTCAGTTTCACCTGTAATTCTGCGTTTGAGCAATAAAAACTCGCAAAGCAATTTATTATACAACTTCTGACATTACATAGTAGTATATCCTTATTGCCAAATATTTATTCAACCAAAGGTGGGGCAATTTTCTTAAATTGCCAGAAATTTAATTTGACCCTGCCTACCTCATTGCTCTTTGAAACCACCTTTTTGACTAATAAATGAGGAATTAAAAAAAAAAAAAAAAAAATAGAAATCATTAGATCTTGGGTTGGTCCTCCATTCCATCTACACTGGTTATAGACTTTTCTTGTCATGCCACCTTTCTGCATGATATCCCATTTTCCCCTCAATCCTCCAGATCATGAGAGGCTGGTTTTGACACTCCATGTCGGGAGGACTGTGGAAAAGTTTAGTGGGAGATCTGCACTTTTAATCTTTGAATGGATGTCCACTGACTAAAATTGTATTATCTATATTTAATTATGCATGTTTTTATTGGCATATGTCTAAACCAGTTTGCAAAAGCATGCAGATCTCTTGTCTGCAGCATTTGCAAGCCCTCCTGTACTTGCCCAGACCAAGCAGCAATTAGTATATAAGCTGCCTGATTGGCTTTTCTGCTTGGCATCCATTTGTGATCAGGCACTAAGTGACACTAACTGTATCAACAAAAAAAACAATAATTGATACTGCACTCAAAATAAAGCAAAAAGATGATATTTAATCGATGTTAGTAAATCAATTTCATATATATTTCAGATATGTACAAAAAATGTGAAAAGAAGGGATACTGTAAATGACAAGTATCCTATGGCAACCAGTGTAATATCATGTAAAATACACGGTAAATACAGAGTAAAATTCATATGAGTATAATAAAAGTTAAATTCATATGAGTATAATACACTTTGAAGTAGTATGAGAAATTCTCAATCTGGATTATTGACCAGTGTGGACAAAAAAAGTTATATACAGTATATACAATAATGGAAAAAAGTAATAGAAAAATGAACAAATTCCTTAAAAAATCAAAAAATGGAAAAAAGACAAAAAGGAAAAAAAGGGAAAAAAAGAGAGAAAAAAATGGAAAAAAAGTTGTATATACAGTCACCAGTGTGTACACACTATTGTATATGGGTGGATCTCACCAATATGCTTTGCTGAGAAAGGAAAAGTCCAGTTCTAGATGAAGTTATCTGAGTTGTAAATTATAGACTGTTCCTCCTATTCCTCTCCTGTTGGTTGAAGGTGATAGATATAGCAGATACTTGGCAGATCCCTGGATAGTCCGGGTCAAATATGTCCAGAGCGTGGACTTCTTGTAGACTCTTGTGCAGGATAAACGGGCTGCGCGCTCGGGACCCTTCAGCCCCTTCAAAGGCCCTGTGTGGAAAAAAGGAAGTAATGAGTCCATATTTATATCCATTTTCGGCGCGCCCGCTTGTTCGCGCGGGTCGCGTCCGAATGACGTAATGACGCACATGACGTCATGACGTGCTCCTCTCCGTGTGCGCATGCGTGTAATAGTTTTACTCACGCATGCGTACTCCTGCTGACTGCGTTATGCCGGAGAAAAATTGCTTAACAAAGTACATAATACCAAGATAATGGCATAAAGTACTATAAATTTACAAAATGCTAATATACATAAATACAAGGTATGGAAAGATAAAGTAAGAGGACCTAGAGGACATAAATACACACACTTAGTATATTTTTAAAAACAAAAATACATGACAAAACCTACAAGCTATTTGTAAGATATACAGAAGGGTATTACTTCAAATATGAGAGGAAAGTTGATTCATAAGTGGGGGCACAGTCATGAAATTGAATCAACCCTGTATTCATGTTCTTAATGATAATCCTAAAGTACTTTTGTATATAATATTGCAACAGATAATCAGAAGGTCAATAGTTCCTTCAGCCAAAAAATGAAAAAGTGAATAAATGAATAAATGAAAAAATGAAAATATGAAAATTTAGCAAAAGGGCATACTCACCAGCAGTGTAGTGTGTGAAAGATGCCCATGGGTTCTCTTATGTTGGACCCCGCATTCTGTCGGGTTGCGGACCACACTTGGTCAACTATTATAGAGCTTTGGATATGAGAGTGCCTGTACATTCATAACTAACTGTATCAACACCCACCCTCTTCTGATATTAGACATGTCAAAGTTGGCAGCACCGTGGTGAATGTGCGCCACAAATGTGAGAATACAATAGAAAGCAAGAAAACTAATTATGGAAAGTTTCCATAATGTTTTTTTTTTTCATTCCCTTTTTTTGAAACTATCATCTTAACTGTTGAGATTAGGGGAATGAAATTAAGTGACTAGTGATTCTCAGACTTTCAATTGCTTTCTGAAGTACTCCACTGTTTAAGATTAGTAGATAAAAGTATATTTTCTTTAAAGGGACACTAAAGGCACCCAGCCAACTTCATCTCATTGAAGTAGTCTGGATAAAGTGCACCTGTCCCCTTATCCATGCATTGCAAGGCTAAGACTACTCTAGTGACTGTCTTCCAGACGGCCATTTGAAGGCTTCCTGCATTTTAGGAGTTTAACTAAGCAGCATATTACTTTGCTGTAGAGGGATTTAGATACATTAGGGCACTATGCACTCAAACGGCAGATGGAATTAATGTAGAAAAGGGCAAAATTATGTACTTTAAGGTAAAAAATGCATGTGACTTACACTGTAAATGGTAGTGAATTAGGGGGAAAAAACACATGAGAATGGTTTGGGAATTGTTATAAACCACAAACTGTGCAACAATGTCAATCAGAAACTGCTAAGGCAAGTAAGGTATTGTCATGTATAAAAAAAGGGCATTATTTCTCTATATCAAGCATGTCAACTTGCGGCCCACCTGCCCTGGTGCCACTTTGTGTTGTGGCTGCAAAGATATTTCCTGTCTGATTCTGGTCTTCTCTCCCACGACCGATCGCATGCTCCCGCAGGCCAGCCACTCCCCCTTCCCTCCTGCTCGCAGTGCCAGAGGTTAATACAAACCAATGTCTGGAAACCTATTCATAAACACGATTATTACACAATGTCACACAAAGGAAACGGTTTTTACAGAATGAACAATAAAGATGTGGAATCCTCTGCCTTAAGAGGTGGTTTCATCAGAATCTGTACAGATGTTTAAACAAGTAGATGAATACTTGCAAAAACATCAGCAAAAATCCTAACATTACAGCAAGCAGAGCAAAAAAATTTAAGGGTTTACCTTGTCCATAGCCACATTGAACCCATAAAACCAAAACCAACATGGTTAGCACCAACGACTGGAATATACCAATGCGGACATTGCAAAGCTCGCAAATGTATCAAACTAGCTAAGACTGTACTGTAAGTACAAGAACCAAAAAAGAATATAAGATCAAAGGATTTATTAATTGTAATTCCACAAGAGTTATATATATATATATATGTATATATATATATATAACATGCAGTTGTGGAATCCAATATATAGGTAACAATCAACTTTTTATTTCATTTTTCAGTAGCTAATTTAAGTACAACAATTGCATATTTCTACTAGAATTTACTGTATCTTATTTTCAGTTTAATTGCAACTACATTGTATAATAACTTTATCTGTGTTTGCATTCAAATATTTGATCACATTTAGTAGAGATCTGATTATCACTTTTTAAATTGTATCTATTGATGTGAAATACATTGTTTATAGTGTCCCAGACTGCAATTCATGCTAGTCCAACACTATTAAATATCCCAGCTACTAAACATTTTTATATGGACTCTTGGTCTATAATGGCCACGGCATTTCCATCAATTCTAATTTAAGTTTGGCCTTTCTGTACGTACCTAATGATTAATTCTCTTTAAAAGTAACAATTACCTGAAAGGGTTAATTCCCTCCGAGATCATTTCACAAAGGAGGAGCATTCTGACACACACGGACATGTTGGAAATCAACCAATAGGAACAACATATTCTGAGCCAATCAGAACTGTCCTCCTCCTTTTTAAACTTTGTGTTGTTTACCAGCCGGTTCACCTCTGACGAGCCACGTCAGGCGAAACGTGTGCATCAGGGGTCCATACAGTGCTGCCTCTTATCATATGACAGCACATGGACTTACCACTATGCTTATTTTTTTTAAATTTTATTTGCCATTCGGCTTTCTAGCACGCTCCAACCACTTAGCTTTACTAGGAATCATTTGCTAATAGCTTAAAACGGGAATAGCTTGAGGTGCCCTCGAAGGCATGGGAAGAGAAGCTTGTACGGTTACTATCTTAGTGCAAAGTTACCTCTACACAGACATTTTTCAACGCTATGATGAAGCAGCCTATTAATGCAAACTTTCAATACAGCAGATCATTTATTTAGTCGATATTCCGTTAAGAAGGTATTTCATTCATAGCCAGTATACCACCTTGATAAGAGATTGAACATCCACTACTCCATTACCCTCTCTCTGTACTCAGCACTATTACAGGGGTGGGGGGAGGGAGAGAGAAGCCTGTTAGTCTATCCTTCTCCATTTTATATTGGAAGGCTTCCCACATTTTTTACTATCTGGAATTAGACATTACTGTGTTCCAATCTCCTTTTAGAAATAGTTAGTTTCATCTTTATACTTATACCTGCTATTTATGGGAGTTGGATTCCATGTCAGTACCTAGCGGTATATTTACCTTGTTTAACCCCACGCTCCTGTGGCCACCAAGCATCTATTCCATTGCCTATATGTGTGTAATAGTTGTAGGCACGGAGCTTTCCTTTATGCATCTGATTGGTGGATATTATCCTTCTATACGCTACAATATCCATTTGGTGCCGATCTTGGTATTACCAGCTATTCCCTGGTATATCACCCCACTGAGACAAAATCTTGGCACAGACGTGCATAGGTTTATACGCGCTACGTTGCTTTACCTTTATCCTGGAATAGGTAGTATGATAGGATTTACACAAATACTACGTTTATAGTTATCTTACTAGATGGTGATTATTCATTTAGACCTGTCGTACTCCTATTTTTGATCTATTTATTTGGGATTTCTTTATTTTTGTTTTTC